GCAGGGGGACAGTGGGGGTCCCCTCGTCTGCAAGGACAACAGAGCCGACCACTTCTGGCTGGTGGGAGTGACCAGCTGGGGAAAAGGCTGTGCTGGGGACAAACGACCCGGGATCTTCACCTCCACTCAGCATTTCCATGACTGGATCCTGCTGCAGACAGGCCTGAACCCAGCAGAACCTGCTACTCTAATGACACAGCCAGCAGAGGAATTGCGCAGGTCTGCCGGCATTTCCTTAGCAAAAAAGACCGTGCGGGAATTCCTGGAGAAGCTGGAGGAGCTCCTGGTGTTATTGAGGGACAAAACAACTTGACCAGAAGGGCGAGCAGGTCCAGCGCTGGCTGCAGTGGATTACAACCATCCCCTGTTATGACCACGAGGCAGCCCCAGTGCCCAGGACTGCTCTGTCCTGCCCAAACTCCTCCCCTGAGCCCGCTATGGTGCTCAGGTGGATTTAATCCTTGAAATAAAGTAGTTTGTGTTCCCATTGTCATGGTTTGGGAAGAGTGTTCTCCAGTTTAGCAGCCCCTGCTGCCACTCACTCCCCATCCCCATCCAACTGGGAGCATAAAAGGCAAAGATTATGGGTTGAGATTTGAACAGTTTACTGGAAACTGCAATGGGATAAGGAAATGAACAGTATCAGCAACAACAATAATAACAAAAGGTATGATACAAAGAAATTATTTACACGGAAAGCCCACAAAAACAAATACCAACCTGCTGCTCCCCACCTTGTTTTCTCTGCCCTGGTCAAAACTATAACACCTCTTAACCATGTTTTCAGCCCAATTCAGTCTCCTGTGCATGGTAAGGACGACAAATTGGGGAGGCAGGAGGGAAAATGAGCAGGATTGGCCCCTATTCTGGGAGGAGACAAGGGCAGAGACAGGGAGGAGTGGAGGGAGGGGATGGGATGGGATGGGATGGGATGGGATGGGATGGGATGGGATGGGATGGGATGGGATGGGAGGGGGTGGCTGAGCCTGGCAGGTGGAGAGAAGGGGCATCAGCTCCAGTCCCACACCCAAACTGCTGGGTGGCTGCTGCTGGCACTGATCCCTGCACCCAAACCCCACAGAAACCCTGTCAAAGGAACTCCAACCCAGGTTTCCCACAGCAGAGCTTTTCCTGGGAAAAGCAACTGAAAGCCGGAGCGGTGCAGCTACAGGAGCAGCCTGAGCGGGGAGTGCTGGAGCCACGAGGGCCATGGGGGTGCTGGAGGATGCTCACCCTGAGCTGCTGCTGCTGCTGCTGCTGCTGCTGCCCACCCAGGTGTGTCCCCTCTGCACCAAGGTCCTGCCCCTGGGGCTGCCGGGACCCCCCATCCCACCCTCCAGCCCAGGGGGGATCTCTGGATCCGGGACGTGCCCTCTGCTCCTCCTGGCTGGTGGCTCCAAGGGGCTGTGGTGGCTCTGGAGAAGATGCTGGAGCCTGGTCCCTCCTGGGACTCCTCAGAACATCCCCCACGGAGCACAGGCCCTGCCCTGCACTCCCGTCAGGGTTGGGGGTCTCCCCGACCCCCCATTTGCTGCCCCAGCACCCCGTTAGTCCAAGGGGTGCCCGAGCTGGGGCTGTGGGGCAGCTCTGAGGCTGAGTTTGGTTAATTGGGGCGGGGGGTCTGGTGGGTTTGGGGTGTCAGTGCGGTGCAGCCCCGGGCTGGGAGCAGCGGCAGCAGGAGGGTTTGGGGGCGCAGTTGGGTGCACAGCAGGGTTGCAGGGTGGGATCCCGGCCCTTCCTGATCTGGCTCTCCCCAAACTCCATGCGCTGCTCCAGCAGGACTTTCTGCAGGGTGATCTCCCTGAGGACCTGCAGCACCTCGGGCCCTGCCCCGCCCTGGAGCAGGTCGTAGTTCTCGGCGGGGTCCGACTCCAGGTCGAAGAGCAGCGGGGGCAGGTGTGGGGTCAGCGGGGTCAGCCCGTGGCAGGCCTGGTCTGGGGTCGTGTCGCTGTGAAAGGAACCTGCAAAACATCCCCCCGGGGGGGGCTCAGCTCCTCCCCCTGAGCTTTGGGCAGCGAGAGCAGCCGGCCCTTCCCACAGCTGGTGAGGGGCAGCACTGACCTTGGGTGAAGTAGTGGGCCTTGTACTTCCCGAAGCGGACGGCGAAGGGGCCGTGCAGGGGGTCGGGGGCCGGAGGGTAGAAGAACATGGTCTGTCGGGGGCTCTGGGGAGGCAGCAGAGCTCAGCTCACCTGTGCAGCTGGAGGAGAGCCTGGAAGAGCACCAGGCACTCCAGGGATTCCCACAGCAGCCCTGGCCCCACAGCCAGAACGGGGCTGGAGAAGAGGGTGGGGGATAAACAGCAGCATCCTGCTGGCTCCCTGCTCACAGCTACTGCCAGCCTGGGGACACCCAGCAACTCCATGGGACAAAAGGTCCCAGCCCATGGATCTCCCCAGTCCCAGCTGGTTCTGCTCCTCAGGCTCACGGCTCCAGCCCCACAGCAGCCTCCCTGCCCGAGGCCAGCCGAGCCAGCCCCCAGGACTCACCTTCCCTGTCCCAAACAGCACCGGGCTCATGTCGTAGCCATCCAGGGCCACTCTGGGAAGGGCTGCTCCAGCCAGGGCAGCCAGTGTTGGCAGGATGTCCAGGGTGCTTGCCAGCTCGTGTGTCACTCCTGGCACGAGGAGAAGTTCAAGCCCCTGATCCCGCTCCCATCCCGGCCATCCCCATTTCCATCCCACCCGGGATGGCTGAGGTGCCTGGGCTGGCACAGGCGGTGCCAAGGCTCACCTGGGGCG